ATAAAAAGAATGATGGCTATGAAATTGAAATCCCTGATAGGATTAAATCCTCTCGACAGGGTGCATTTCAGCCACTTTTAATTATTCCAAAATTTAATAATATTAACCTATGTGTAGCTTCGACATTAGAGCATTACCTAACTGTTACATCTACTATAATAAACAACAATGATTGCCTTTTTCTAACAATTAAAAAACCTTATAAAAAAGCATCAAAAGATACAATCAGTAGATGGATAAGATCTTTTTTAACTGAGTGTGAAGTTGGTGAGAACTATACTTCTCACAGTCTTAGATATGCGTCTACTTCAACTGCCTTAAGCAAAGGAGTTGATATAAGTATCATAAAAAGTCTTGCAGGATGGTCTAATAAATCCAAAGTCTTTGAAAAGTTTTATAACAGACCTATAATTAACAATAAAACTACGTTTGCGTCCTCAATATTATCTTAATATTACCTATTACTTAACTATTTATATTATCTAATTGTTAAAAAAAAAAAAATTGTTCACGATTCAATTTGTAATGATTAATTTAATTATTCATTATTCCTAATAAAAAAAAAAAAAATTCTTTAATTGAACTTTATTGTTCCTTACTTAATATTTAATTTACATGTTACAGCTCTGAACATCTACCTAGTGATCTCGAGAACGAAATTTGAAATATAATTGTGTAATCGAGCGAGGTCGTCGAAGGCGACCGAAGCTCGATTATAATTATATTGATAATTTTGTTCGAAGAGATCACTCCCACCCATCTTTCACCCTCCCAGTGATCTCTTCAAATTAAGCTTTAGCTGAACCGTATGAGGATAAATAAGACGGTTACCTGGGAAACGCTTTATATTTGTTTTTACAGTTGAACTTTGTGATGTGAATATGCGTACAAAGGTGGTACTACCTAGTGATCTCTTCGAACGAAATTATCAATATAATTATAATCGAGCTTCGGTCGCCTTCGGCGACCTTGCTCGATTACACAAAAACCTTTGAGTTTTCTGACCAGCCAGCAAGATTCTTGATAACGGAGAAATCGACTCCTTTAGCTAAAGCTGATGATGTAGAAGCATGTCTGATGCTGTGAGGAGTATATTCACTTGATATACCACAGTTAAATAAGAACATTTTCAACCATCTGCTCAAAGAATCTTTTGAAGCTGCTCTAAAAGGTTGTCTTGTTGTAATAAATAAAGCTTCTATTTTGTCATTGATCAACAAATCAGATGTAACTTTTAAATAAGCTTCTAACATTGAAGCAACACACAAATTTTTATTTTCAGGAAACCGAGGAAGAATAAGAAGAGGTTGATGATGACCACGTCTTGACGTCTTAATAAAATCCGGAATTTGAATTTCATAACCGTTCTGAACTTTTTTAATATTTGATCGTTTAATAAGTGATAGAGTTTGTTTACGATGCGCCGTAATTAAGGCCATTGACATTAATAACTTGTTAGTTAATTCTGGTAAACTAAGAACACTGAGCGGACTCATTTGTTCTAATTTATTAATAACCGGATCAAGACTGTAAATTTTATTGTACTTAGGTTTACTGGGTTTCTCTTTATAAATCCCTTTTAACAGACGAGATAATAAAGAACTCTGTCCAATATATTCTCCACAGATTAAAGAAAGAGCCGAACGACAAGTATTGAGAGAACTATAAGAAGCACCTTGATGAAATTTTCCAGACATCCAGTCCGCAACTTGACCCTCAGTTGGCTTGTATAAGTTCAAGTCTTGAGATTTGCAAAAATAATACCAATCTACAATAGGTTTATTGTATTGTTTAAGAGTGGATTCAGTAATCGAGTTGAGGAGAAGACTAACAGACTCTTCTTTTACTCCTTTCAACTTGAATGCTTCGCAGATAATCTTCCTGCCATCAGGGTTAATTTCGCGGCTAATGGATGCTGCATTTTTCTGTCAAGACCAAGCAAAAGATTATTTGAAGGTTGAAAAAATAATGGAGGAGATTCCAATAATGACAACCACAGAGGATACCATGGTCGCGCATGCCAATCAGGAACCACTACAATTCCACAAGCTTGGTCAACTTGAATTTTTTGTAAAACTTTCAAAATTAGAGAAAAAGGAGGAAAAGCAAAAAAATAAAAATTTTTCCAACTTAAAGTGAATGCATCAATACAAAATGCATCTGGTTCTTGATGCCAGGAACAATACAGACTGCATTTAGTATTTATTTTTGATGCAAACAGATCTATTTCCGGAATACCTAATTTTCTGGTAATTTTATCATAAGCCCATGTGGCCAAGGCCCATTCCGTGTCGACATTGTCTACTCTTGAAGCCAAATCAGCTTCCGTATTTTCTTGAGAGGGTATATAAGATGCAAAAAGCCACAAACGTCTTTGCTCACACCAAGACCAAATATCGTATGAAATGTTATTTAAGTCCCGAAATTTAGTACCTCCCATCTTGTTTAAATATGCAATCGCCGTCGAATTGTCAATCTTTAGAAGAACTTCACAATTTGTTAAATCAAAAGCAAATGATTTTAAGCCATTGAATGCCGCCAAAAGTTCTAAACTGTTAATATGAAAACATTTTTCTTGGTTAGACCACTTGCCATAAGTAACTTTACCATTGCAGTATGCACCCCAACCCATCAAAGATGCGTCCGAAAAAATAGTCAAATGAAAGGCAGATTGTTTGATGATATTTTTGGATGTTAAAATATTTTGTTTCCACCAAACAAACTCTTTTTTCAAAGAGGGAGATAGGTACATAGATGCTTCGTAATTATCACGAGCTTTTAATAAAGCTAAATACTTATTTCGTTCGAACGGTTCAGAATGAAACCAACCATAATTTATTCCCGAACAAGCAGCAGTTATTTTGCCTACAAATTGAGCAAAATCCCTTATGGAACAAATTTTAATATTTTCAAATTTAGAAATTAACTCAAAAATGTGGTCTCTTTTATTTTGAGTTATTTCTATAGTCATAGAATTTGAATTAAGAATGAAACCTAAAAACTGACAAGATTGAGAAGGAATCAAAGTACTCTTAGATCGATTTATTATAAATCCAAGAGATTCTAATAATTCAATATCTAAGTAGACTACTGATATCCAACCTTGACTTCTCAAAATACTTATCACTGGTTTTAAGATTTTCGTAAATACCCACGGAGCAGTGTTCAATCCAAATGGCATGCAAATAAACTCATAAAGTTGACCGTTCCAACGAAATCTAAGATATTTCCAAAAATTTTTATGAATAGGAATCATTAAATATGCATCTTGTAAGTCAATATTAGCCATAAAACATCCTGGAGTAATTAATTTTAAAGCTGTTCTAATATCCTCCATTTTGAAATGAGTGACATCAATAAAAGAATTTAATTTTTTTAAATTTAAAATAAATCTCATTTTTCCATTACTTTTAGGAATAAGAAAAATACTGGAGAGAAATTGATCCTTAACGTCACTACATTTCTGAACAGCTTCTAAAACTAAAAGATCATTAATAGCTTCTTGCATTGCATTATTATCGGACAATAAATCATTACGAGGTTCTTTATACTGTATTGGAGTAGTCAAAAAAGGTACTTTATAACCAGATATTGTTTCTAAAATAAAACTATCTGAAGTTATTTGTGACCAAGCTCGTAAAAAGAATTGTAGTCGACCAGCTATAGAACTAACCTCTACTTGGTGTTGTTTGATTGGGACTGATAGCCCTTGGATTTGCTCAGAGATCGAGTTTGTGGTGGTGTCGATCGATTGAACTGGCCAAATTTCTGGAATGGTTTCCGGTTGAAGCCCGACTGAGACGGGCCACCTCGCGACGTAGCCGGGCTCTTCCAGTTTAAAAAACGCTTCCGTGAAACAAAAGTCTTCTGCTCGGGTTGGGATTTCAAGGTTAAACCTGCTTTTTCAACCGTAGAAGAATCTTTGATCCTTTTAGAAAGATCCTTGCCGAATAAAAACTCGTCAGTGACAGATTCTTCTAAAACAGTCTTGCGTTTAGACTCCACGTACTGATAGACATGAGTTTTACGAGCCTTTTCCAGTTGAAACATTAATTCACACATAATGTTACTGGAGTCACACAGCAACTCTAAGATATCATCCTTCTCCAACGGTTCTTCATCATCGGAGAACATAGCGCACAGCGCTTTCCCGAGACTAACCAAGGAAAGGCCACAGAGATTTTGGTTCGACGCGAGATGCTTATCTCTGCCAACAGCAGACTTATGAAGCAACGGCAAAAGCTCTGGATTCAAAATCGGAGCTTTTAGGTTAATATTACATTTATCAGGATATTTTTCTAAAATTTCTTTTTTTGTAGAGGTTTCCATCCCCTTTGAGAGAGTCTCCTTCCAACACGCGACAAGCTCAGGATGGAACTCGAAAATTAGGTCTTTCTGTCGACGCTTTTCAACCCCAAGAAGATCCCGAGCCTTCTCCGGTAGTTCAATAATTTCAGAATTATTGGTGTCATTGTCTTGTGGAGTACGAGGAACCTTGCTACCGGAATCCGTTTTGGGAACGGTCTTCTTTTCAAGATCAGACTCAGATACTTCATCATGATCTGAACCTACAAGACAATAATGATCTGGGTTATAAATGTTATCAAGGAAATAAATTCTTTGACACAAATAAAAAAAATTATTTTTGATGTATAACCCAGTCGAATGGTACAATTTGTAACCGAAAGAAGTTACAAAATTGCCCAAATTGCTATAACAAGCAATTTAATTTTGGTTATTTATATTTTATTCATTCATTTATTTTAGGATAACCCAATGGTGCGAATTATTATAAAATAATCGCCCGAATTTATTATGAAAAATTAAATTAATCATAATAAATAATTAATGAATAAAAATAATCATGAAAATAATTATAAAAAGTTAGCCTATTGGCATAGACATATACCTTCGTCATCTGATCTGACAGATATGTCACTTTCATGTTTGTCGGATGACAATTCATCTATTAAATTTTGATATTTCTTTAATTTTCTTTTTAGAAAATCAAGATCCAGAGGTGAATCAGCTTGTCGCTTGCTCATAATATTTTTTATTAAATACTAACTTACTTTTTCCAAATTAATATTGAGAGAAATAAAATAGTACGTAGTGACAAGAGGCGCACAAAAAACAGAATGAGGCTGGACATATGACGGCGTTACAACGTAGCTAACTTCATTTTATTTACAGCTTAACTTTGTGGTGACAATTGGTGTGCGAGGCAGTACTACAATGTGATCTCGAGAACGAAACATGAAATATAATTAATATTTACAATTACACAGAAAAAAAAGTTCACTTGAGCCAAGAAACTATTTTTCTTACAAATTATTTTCTTGAGCGAAAAAAAAATTTTTTTTTGACACAAGAAATTTCACTTATTCCAACAAAATTAATTCTCTTGCTTTAATTAATTATTATTAATTGTCTTGAGAAAATTTCTCTCTTGCTCCAAATAATTAAATATCTCGATAAAAGTAAATTTTCATTAATATTTTTATTGATTAATATGTCAAATGGGAAGATCAAATAATATTTATCATTTTTTTTTCATTCAATATATATAATTGCACGCTTAAATAATGTAAAATAGGTATCAAATATTCAAGAAAAAAATTTTCTCAAGGTGAGAAAATTTTTTTATCAGCTGAAGTAGGTGGCGCTGCTTCCCTAAAGTATCTAAAAATCTTGATCAAATATAAAAATTTATTGTAACAAGTATTTATGATAATTGGAATTAAGAAAACATTACTTCCACGAAGAATAGAATTTCAAGAAAAATTTTACTTCTGCCAACACAACTTTGGTCTTCCTTCAGGCACCCGAAAATTTTCTTGAGCTAAGAATTTTGTTCTCCAGTCAAGAAATTTTTCTTTCTTTGCACACTTTATACATAAAATGTAGAACACGAATTTCCCAAATAAAATTTTTTAAAACTTACTATGTAAATCTTAATAAAACTGAAGTTTTGATAAAAATTTGGTTAAGGTAACACAAAAAATTCTACAATATCACCGTAAAATTTTTATAATACCTCTTTCAAATATTTTTGCTTTCTCTTATTCTTCAAAAATTTACACGAAGAAAGAAAAACTTTTTGACTCTAAAATAAATTTTTCTGACCTTATTATTTAAAAAAAAAATTATCTTGGATGAATAAAAAATTAAAAAAAAAAATTTTTTTTCTTGCTTCAAAATAATTTCACTCTTTCTTAGCATTTTCTTGGTTAAATTTAATTTTTTTTTTCTGTGAATTTATCAAAATATTCAAATTGATCAACCTGCATTTCATCAATGAACAATAAATCTTATAAAGTAGTGATGTCACTCATTTTTTTATAAGCTATCTTCTGCGAAAGCTTATGAAGTACTTAGATACTGCTGATAACAAAAGTGGTTCTTCTGAACCTCTTTGATTTTTTTAGATACTCTACTTAAGTTATAAAAAAATCCACTTATCCCGACCACACAGCAAAAATAGTAGAATTAACCTAATTAATCCACAGATTCGGTAGAATCTGGCGCCAAGTTCCGTTCAAATCCGTTGTCAACGGAGCGCCAGACTACCGACTGTGTTTACTGTAAGCAGAACGGTATTTTGAGGTTGCAAAATTTGATTTAATTCTACGGTACTTTTTTTTCCTAAATTGTATATTATAACAGTAATTCATACTTTATTTTACTGTTATTAATTAATTATATTCACATATAACAATTAATCTACTTGAAATTACTAAATTTAATCAGCACAAACTATAGCAACGCAAAAATTTCGATCCTGACTTTTTGTCGATGGGCAATTATAGCAATTAGTCGTCAATCTGTAAATAAACCTTTAAATACATATTTACATTAAATACTGAAAAAAAGTGAGGATCAAATTACTATCCATCGAACAACAAATAAAATCTATAATTTCACGGGTATTTCTATCTAAAATGTTTTTTTCCATACGCTCTGAATAAAAGCTCAAACACATGCTCATTGAAACATCCGTTATAATTATCAAAACGTGCGCGATGGACATTTCCTACTTGACAAAAAAATTTCGGAAGCTAAGTTTGAGAACTGGACCCTCACATGTACAATGTACATACTTGATATATATGTATATATAAATAATTTGAGACCCTCCGTAAGAAAATATAGTTGACGGGGGGTGGAGTTTGTTCCTCAAGTACCCGTACACACACCCGTCTACTCATATTAGAAGGGGATTCTGCCACGCTTATAGCCACGTGTCTTAACGCGTGCCGGAAGTGACCAACCGGATACAGACATCCGAGACGCTCTTTCGTTGGCTCCCCAGCCAATCCCGAATCGAGAAACGATCTCTATACCTCTTTGGTTCTTTATCTCTTTTTCAACCCTCCGTTTTTCATTCTTTTATTCACTTTTTTAATTTTATTCCTTACAATTTATATGGTCAACCGAATTTGATAAAATTTTTAAAAAATGATTATCAGTTTAGTGATGAAATGAGAAGTTCAAAAATTTTAGTCTGCTTTATTGGAGAATATTCAAAATATGTGAAGAAAGTGGAAAAAGTTTCTGCAAATGCAATTAAGATAAATGAGCAACCTGCAGTCACTATATTACTATCGGAAATTAGAAATTATGAGTTGGCTTAATGAATTTTGATTTATCAAAATATATATGTCAAACCTAAAAACTTTTCAAAATTTCTCCAAAAGCGTCATAAAAAATTGACTAGTCATAAAAAAATTACCAAAAAATAGATAAAATCGTGAAAAAGCACAAATTATGGTTAGGACCTTTCGAATCGTACAAAATTTTATCATAGCAACTTATATCACCATAAAGATTCTTTTAATTTTATGAATTAATCTATACTAATAAATGAAGAGCCGACTTTTTTGTTTGGTTATACTGTGAAAATTACTGAACCGATCGGAATAATACTTATACCATAAGATGCAGCGTGTTTCGGAGAAGGTTTTAGTATATATGTTGGTGATTACTTACCCGGAACCTACATTTTTTTGACTTAAAAATAATGAATTTTTGTTATAACTAAAATTACTCTATTCGATTGTCCTTTGTTTAACATAAATTTTTTAATTCTATCGGTTATGTTTATATACTAGCCAGATTTCTTCATGTATGAGATCCGCAATTTCTTTAACTGAAACTTTCAATGTTCATTACAAATTTTTTTTTTTCATATCAATTATTATTCATTTTTGTAAGAAAGACACGAGAATGGTTATAATGATTGCACATTGAAAGTTATAATGAATATTAGCTAGAATAATTACATGGATAAAAAGTACATGCCAATTCGATAGAATTGGGAATCTGTGTAAGTCAAAACAATACTCTAATTAAATTTCAAGTCTAGATTTAAAAATGCAATACTATAAAACGCCCAGTTGACATTCTCATCTATTTAGAACTACTCTAAAAACTAATTATAATAAATTCACTGTCTTAGAAAAGTATATAGCAACCGGAAAATGCAAAATATTTTTCATTTTTTATAATTAACAGTAATCATGATCAAAATGACGATGATAACCATTACCATCATTGTCATTTTAATAATTATATATTTATTTAGTCTACATTTTTTAAACTTAAGATCTAACATGACTTAAAGTACTACTTTGAACCTAATAAATTATCTCTGATTAAGAGCTATAGTCGACATAAATTTGACCATATTGAAAGCTGTTGAAATAATAGCATTTGATCATTCTTCATGAAAGTAATACTAAAAAAGTTTGGAAAATCCAAAAGTGCACGCCTCATAACGCTCATTGATTTTTTAAGAAAAAATAAATTGCGTAATTGATTAAAAAAATAAAAATTATAATTAAGTAATTTCTTACAGAGTATTTTTTTTTTTTTTTAAATATCATCGCCCTTTTTTCTTGTTATATGCGCACGCAGTCTAGAAAAATCTTGCTTGATCAAGTGGCGCCATAGTTTTCACGTGAAAAATAAGAAAAATTCGGTTGTCAATTAAAAAAAATCTACTTATATTATTGTATAAGTGTAATATGGTTGTGATAGAGACATTTAAAGATCACAAAATTGCTTGACCTTGACGAGTCGAGTATAAAGCACAACCTCACGTGCTTCCCGCTATGAGGCGTGCAATGAAAGGAAATAATGAACCTAATGGGAATTGACAAGTATTCAATTGATCATGTTTCTCAATGTTCAACTTGATTGATTTCTAATTAATACTATTTGACAATCAATGTCGTGGATCATTAGAGATTTATATAAAAATCAAACAAAAAATCCAAAATCTGTTGAAAACACTCAGAAATCTTGCACCAGAAATGAATTCTAATTTGATTGAATAAGCACAAGTCTAATCATCAGGTTCCACTGTAATTTTTAAGATCTACCAAACTCGCAAAATATTCAGTCAAGGTCATTGGGATCTCTATTGATCTTTCGGTACCCTCACGTCTCTGCAGCATTGAAGCTAGAAAGCAAAATCAGTCATAAATTACAAGCTAACAAGCTAATAACAATGTTTCGTTGATCTCCAGGTGAAAAGTATCTGTAAGGCACGTCCAGGTGAGTGAGAAGTCTGCGGTCTAACTGGCCATGAACAAACTTACACACACATATTTACCAGTTAACAAACAACCCTTTAGCATGGATCACGAAACTCATATGTAGTATCAGTGTACATTGCAATTTCCCCTCGTGCGTCCTGCGATTTTTTGTGGACATATCCTTCTGCGAGAATGGGTGTGAGCCCTTTCTACAATTGAATTTCGGATTTACCCCATTCCCCGCTATGGTTTCTGATAGGTCCGTAAGTTTCTTTACCGCACCAAGTCCCGGACTATCAAAATCCAGCTTGCAACTTTACCAGTGGCACGCGTACATTTTTAATACATATTCACACTGGCACCAGCCACTTTTACCTCTCCTAGTCCATGCAGCCTACCAGAGCACACATAATAGTAACATCCATTT